GCATTCGGGTTCGTGGATCCTATCAGGTTTGGCTTCAAGCTCACTCGTTTCTAGTGGGCTTCTGAAAACGACCGGAGAGTCCTCCAAACCCCTACCCACAGACCTGCAGCATCCCACTAATCACAACTCAGAATAGCTTTAACAGGCACAGCCGTCACTGGTGCATGTGATGAAGCTCACCCGACACGTGTTGTGATGCGGGGACTGGTGGAGGTATGTCTGCATCAGCCAGGACTCGTTGCGACGGCGTTCATCCCTTGGCGGGACCCAGGAAGTTAAGGTTTAGCGGCAGGGTTAAGAGTGTGGTCAAGCTCACGAGGCACAGGTCCATGTTAGAAGTGATTTCTAAACCCATGTGCACAAGAGTTACAATTGTCAGTACGGACAGCACATGCCTGACCAAATGATGTCAAACCAGCGACTCGGAGAAACCCAAAGTAAGTAGGCGTTCAAGCCTTTGACGGTTGTTTGCTTCAAGATGAGGCTGTATTCAGCCTGTTTTGGTGTTGAGGTGTTGAGGAAATGATGGTGATACAGATATACAACTCGCAAACCAAACAGTGAAAATATTGCGGGCATAGTGTGCTTGTTTAGTTTACGACTCTCCTGGCTACAGGGAGAACGTCTCAAATCAGGAGTCCATGTTGACGAGGGCATAGTGGCAAATCCTTAGGTAAGAGATGACCGACGAGGTCGCCACAGTTTGGCACAGCTTTTTTGCTGTTGTGTGTTGCTCATGCTGTCCTTGGTCTTTGTTGTATCCTACAGCGGCCTCAGAACCTTTGCACCTTCTATCACACTTGGGCCTGCCTCAAACGGCTTCAAGGAGGAACTCATTCGTTGAGAGTTCATACACAGGCCTTAAATTGAGTTACTTAGGAGAAATTGTCGCCATTTTTTCTGGCTGTAATGGCTGCAATGGAAGATGTCATTCTGGTATTGATTCACTTTCCGATAGTCAGAAACCTGATCAAGGCTCGAGTAGGTCACAGACCCATAGACCCCATCGTGCACCCCCAGATGTCCCGAAGTCTTTTTCCCACTATAAACCACCACTCACCCGAATAAGGAGTCAGATGTATCCTGATTCTCCGGGCGTTTTTTCTTAGCTGCCGCATGTTCTGACTTTGCCAGGCAGAAGTAGCCCGATCCGCTGCTGGAAGCTTCGAAGTGACTGCTATCGATTTGTGCTGCGAGGACGAGGAAGCGCATGATCAAAAGCAGGATTCGTCGCGCAGTAGGGATTGGCACAAGAGGCTTCAACGCAATTATGACAGATGCAGCACTGCCACCAAGTACTCTGGTGCCATTTCTTTCTTGCCAGATCGTTATGGAGCATTTCGATTGTGGTCCAAGGCTGTCATTGCCGAAGCATTTGTCATCTGAAGCAGTTTTCCGGAGTTTTCCGCATGAAGATACGTTGCCGCATCTAGAGGGAGGGTTTGCTCAATGATTTCAGGAAATGGCAGGATAGCAACATACCAACAGATAAACTCTGCGCCGCACCTATAACTTGGCACACCACGGCCTTCCAGCTGGCGTTCAAAATCGAGCAGCTACAAAGGCAGAACCATGAAAAGCACGCAGCTTACCCTCGGAACTTAGGAGTCGGTTTAGGGCTTAGGGTTAGCGTTCATGGTCAAGTGTTTGGGGTCAGGGTTTGCGGGTTTTTTCTTTCACTAGAAGATAGTCAGTGATCACTTGATGCCCCGAGATTAGTCTCCGAGACCGAGACCATGCACCTGGCTTGGAGGTTCTTGGGAACTAATTACAGGTAGACTTCTTTATTTCAGCATACTCATAAAGCGACGTGTTTGTCCAAGAGCTGAACTGGAGCACACCTGGAGGTCCTCAAGACTGAAAACCGGACATATCTTTCAATCATTCAGGAGAAGAATCACTAGCCCTGAAAGCCCAAAACCTGTAAAAACTACGAAGTCAGAATTCAGAGAAGAAATGTTGAGCGAGTGGCGTTAGTGGAGTTAGCGGCAGCAGCAACAACAACAACAACAACAACACAAAAAGGAAAAAGAAGAAGTAGGAGGAGGAGGAGGAGGGCAAGCAGGCGTAGCGGCCAGAGTTGCGATCGTAGAAGAAGGAGGAGGATGCGCATGTGGCTTCAGTAGCTGCAGCTATGGTTCCTGAAAGGTGTAGGCGAAATCGCGGCCATTGTAACTGGGAGACTTGGGATCTAGGGCTCTATAGCTGAAGTCCAATTCGTGCCACCATTGCGGCTGCTGCTTCTCCTGTTACTGCCTGTGTGGTGATGCAGACTCCGGTCAATAGAATGCTATTAAATATCAATTTTGGTCAGTGGTCTAAGTTCTTCCGGTTCAAGTTGTCTACAATCTCATGGCATACCGCTTAGGTTTCCAGCAAATGCCTGCATGTCGGTGCTGTGTGTGCCTTTGGGCTCAAAAAAGATGTCCAGACGTCTGAAGCTGTCGAGGGGGCACTTCGGGCTGGACACTGGTCCAGAGCTTAGCTACCTGTCCCTTGCTCAGACAAATGAGAAATTAAAGTACTGTAATGATTCTCAGCCTTGCAGAATGGCTCTGCCGCAGTTGTCCTCTCCGAGGTTAGGTGGTCTGCCCAGGGTTTTTGAGATGTGACGGTTTGGTCCGCTTAAAGGTTTTGCGGTGCCACAGTGTCCGCGCAGAGATTTTACGGTGTGGTCTACCCCAGGTTTCCGTTCACGGTGTTGTCCGCTCTTGGGCATGATATCGTGCTCCTCTCAGAGGTGCAAGGGCACATGGTGTGGTTCGCTCAGATGTTTCAGATGTCACAAGATGGTTTTGTCAGAGGTTTGCAGCTGCCAAGGGCCAGTATGTTCTCCGGAGGAATACAGACATTCTGTGGACTGGGCAGGTATTGGAGCTGTTCAACTATAGTCACCCTTGAAGAGATGGAGTAAACTGTTGTTGGTGTTCGTTGAAACTGCCGTTGGAGGAAACCAAAAGTTGCAATTGTTGGACACCGTTCTGGGCTCTACAATGGGAAAATTCTATCGATGTTTTGGTGAAAGCGTTTTGGGGGGATTTTTTAGGTAACGGCAGATCCTGTCTACTTGCGAAAGTCTTGTATTCCTTTCCTCCTGACACTCTAGACCAGCTGTGGAGCATGCGGCAAGTGGGTCCCAAGCAGAGAGACACAGCTGGGCTTGCCATTTGCACGCCTGAAACTCACAGCCCAAGAACTTGTGCCCTGCTAGTCCAAAAAGAGAAGAGAAGGCAGCCAAACCACCTTCCGTTTCTTGCTGCGAAGCCAGAAGTTGAAGAGCCCATGGTCTGGAGATGCCTCCGTCCTCGAATCTGTCAAGTTGATTACAACCCCATAGATGCCACAAGTAGCCACCAAGTAGCGCCACCCGAACGCCTCTACTACAACTTATTGCCGAGGGCAGTTGTTTGCCAACTCTTCAGCGGAGGCCTCAGCAGGGCTGCCTGTGAGCGGAAGAAGAGGGACAAACTTTGACTTAAATGTAAGACCAATATCTTCTTCACTGTCATTAGTAACATTCATTCTTGCCTCCCATGCCAATACAGACATCACTACTCGCACCCACCGTCCTATTGCTATTCCTATACTTTGGATCGACCATAATATGAACATCGTAATTCATTGTTTTGGTAATTTGCTGTAAAGTAACCACAGTAAAGTAACGAATGCCATCATATAGAAAGATAGCAAGAGTCACCATTCATACTCTGAATAAAGGAGCAACAAAACATTGAAATTCCAGTAGCGCATGCAAACTTTATGGGTACTTAATCAAAGCTCTAAATTTTGGCAACCAGAGGTTGCAGCAGTGCAAAATCAATATTCAAAACATAGCCTCAACAATACCGTTCCGCGGTTTGATGCCACTGACGGTACGCTCAAGACTACGCAGTGAAAGTAGGAGTGGCAGCAACAATTACGATCCCAATATTGCGGGGTATTATCACATATTCCTTAAAACGCCTTGCTTTCAACCAGGCTAGGCCCCCAAGAAACAGTCTGAAAAAACAAACAGTTTTTTTGATAATGTTGAAGGACGGTTTCAGACAAAACTTCCATGAATTCAGAGTTTGTGGGTATTTGACGCATGCAAGATTTTGAGTATCAACAAGGCCTTCGAGCTCGAAGCCCAGCTTAGCAATCCAAATGTGTGAACATCAGCACTTCCTACGAGGCTGCAAAACTGTGCAAGATGTTAAGCAGCAGACTCCATGCCCTGCCATCAGGTTTTTCCAGTGGGTATCCTACTCCTTCCCACGAACCCTGCAGACCCTCGCCTTGCGCTTCACCCTTCAACTGGCAGACACCGGCCAACGCTCCACTTGTTTTACACAGGGTATGGTGTTACTTGAAATTTAAACTTTGTACGTTCTTCCTAGTGCTACGTACCAACAAGTCTGGTTTGGTCAAGTATTGACAAGAGAAATTTGTTAGGGCTAACGTGCTTTTGAGCGTGCAGCTAGAGCGAGCGAGAACCAACACCGAGAGGGCCGTGGAGCCTCACCAACTGCTGGCTGCATGTGATGAGCGATGGGCCAGGAAAGATTAAAACGCAAACTTCCCCAAGTGTTGGAACAGCTGCAGGTCACAAAGCAGGTAGGTTCGCGACCTTAGATCAGCGAGTCCTAAACATTAGGACCCCGGAGCTTGAAATTGTTATCCAGGCACCCCATAGCCAACAACCTGAGAAGCGGGCATAAGCCCGCGCGCAGCCCACTGGAACGTCATGTGAGGCAGTTCTTTATCATGGTTTGCGTGGGTGTACGTAAGCATGCTTAGTAGTGTTGGATGGCGGTGTCCTTCTGGGAACTTTATGGGTACATATGCACATATGTATATGTGTGCCCTGTCGAAAACTTCAAGAAACCCCACATGCTGCTTACAACTTCATATACAGCCCACTTAGATCTTCACGGAAGCCTCCTACACCTGCAAGATCCCTACAACCCAGGAAGTTCTTGGACATCTCAACGGGCACAAGCCCTTCGAGACTCAATGAAATGCAGCCGGTCTTCGCACTCTGTGCATGTGTTGAAGTCCCGGTATTTCTGGCAACTCTGCAGGTTTCTGTGAAGTTTACAGGTTTGTCGGGATCATAGATATAGTCTTAAGGCATTTCGCGCATTGTGGGATGTCAATTAATCCCCCTTCCAGGCCTTACTTGTAAGCATCTACTTTTTGACCGGATGTTACTCGTCTTGACATCCTGAGCTCCAAACAGGAGTTTCCATTCCTGGCGAATTGAGAGAATGGGAATCTCAATGGTTTGGGACCTGCACTCAGAATCCTTATAAATCTCTCTTCGATTCGACTGGCAAATGGTGTGGTTTTTGACCTTCTTTTGAAGCTCAACGGCCATCCTGGCCCCTAGAAGCAGTCAATCCTCAGCCGCATGCGGGGCCTTGCATGTTGCATGCCATCAGAGCGCTGTCGTCTGTTGCAGTCACACAAAAGCGCAGACCAGCCTCATCCCTGCATCATAACGGCAAAGCCATTCTAGCCCGTAGCTACCTGGAGTGTCTCAAAATTAGGCAGGGGACCCTGAAGCCGATTAAGCGCAGCATATGCAAAGAAGCCCTAAGCAGGCCCTGCTCCAGACTGAGAGGTTTTCAACGGGCGCCCTGCAGAGTCCCCAAGCGGGGCGTGCATCCTTTCGTATTCCCCATGAAGACAGCAAAGAGTACCTCCTATGTCTCAACACCGTTTCATGTGAATTTCAAGCTTGAAAGAACATCTCCCTGTTGCCAGGAGCTATCTTTAGCGAACATATTGCCCCCCGCGTCAGGGACCTGTTTGCCAGGGCTATTGTTGGGATGAAGGGTGTTTTGCGAGATACACAGCTCCGCCACGGTGTCTCAACCATGGTGCTGCCTGGAGGATTCAGAGGTTGTTTGGGTGGCCTCTGGTGAGGCATTCGCTAGATATTGTAAGCGAGAAGGATTCATGACTTTCAGGGACGAGGTGGTGTTGGATCCAAGACTTGCTTCAGCTGCAATCCCGAAGTTTGTGCTCATGTGCTCTTGGCAAAATGAAGATGGCCTTGTAGCCCCCCCCAGGATCTCGAGTGCGAATTGAGAATGGCAACAACTAGATTTCCCGAAAAAAATAGATGTTTACAGCGATCCACACGCTGCCTTCTGATCCAAGTCCTTTGCATAGTAGACGAAGGAGGTCCTCTTCATCGCTTGCACAGAAGACTACGTGTAGGGGCAATTGTTCAGGGTCTGGGGCATACAGCTGCTGATGACCAGATGCTGAGCATCAGGTCATAACACCAGCATAGCAAGCCCCCTAAACCGTTTTGTCAAGGTCCGTTGAAGAGCCAATGGCAAGACACCGCCCAGAACGGTTGAAGAGCATCCTAGCCCATAAAAGCCCGTGAGTGGTTTTGTGGCGAATATAACCATAAGTGCACAAATAACATCAAGGATACCATCCGTTGATACTCCGGCCATACATGGAGCGTATACAATCCTCATAATCCGACCCCACAGTTTCTCTCGCGCTGCTGATGAAGTAAATCTGCTATGAGTCTTAGCCAAGGTTGAGGTGCTTTCTGAACCTGCCGCCCCACGAATGCTATCTTCACCTATTTACTGCTAGCATCATGATTCCTACAACTACATTAAACTTCAACCTACTAAACCCCAACCCCATCGGATCCCTAGAACGGTCCTGACAATGGTCTCGGGCGTTTGGTCAATCTACGTCTTCCTGCAACGCAGCTGAATTGGGTTCTGGTTCGGGGATTGGCCTTTGGCTCGCGGCTTAGACTTCAGACCGGCTTGAGGTATACGTTCGATCTTGTGAAGCCAGGATTTTAGGATTGAGGATTTGGTTGCAGTCTTCCCAAACTAACAGCCGAAGCTTTGGTCTAGCCTCTTGCGAGATGTCATACATTGAGCTAATGTAGATTGATTTGATTGCTCGGAAGCGGTATCAGAGTAGCAAGCCTTTCCTAAAAATGCAAACCATGTCCCCCCCCCAAATGCTCCAGCAGGAGCGGCGTCTTGCTAAATTGGGGTTTCAGCAACATCATGGAGCGGGGGTGAAGGGGCCGTCAAGCCGATGGACTCAATGTTTTTGTCCCTGCATAGTTTGCGCAGGTATTCAGGCAGCGAAATTTGCGCTGGCATTGGTTGGCATTGACAATGACAAAGTTGTGTTTAGCTCCGCACGCAGCATGCCATCGCACAACCAATCAAGTGGACGATGACGGTTCAGTCTATTGTTCTCATGTCTTGCGGAAGACATAAGTCAGAATCGTGACCGTCTGCCAGTTGAAATTGCCCGACGCTGTAACATGGTGGTTGTGGTGGTGGTGGTGCTGGTGGCTTTGGCGGTTGTGGTTTTGGTCGCTTTGGTGGTGCTGGTGCTGGTGCTGGTGCTGGTGCTGGTGCTGGTGCTGGTGCTGGTGCTGGTGCTGGTGCTGGTGCTGGTGGCGGCTTTAGTGATGGTGGTGGCTTTGCTCACGTTCGTCGGTGACGATGATTATCTTGGTTGGGGTGATGACCGTGATGAGTGATGAGCATGAGGATGATGGTGGCGACGATCTTTTATCATCTTCTTCTCGGCATTACTACTGTTCAGCATCTGCATCTTCTTTCCTGTAACATGGTTATGTACCGGACCTTACATTGATGGGTAGCGGTTGTCCAAATGCTGTTGTTACCATCTACTTTGAGATCAGCCCAAGCCTGAAGCCCTGAACATCAAACCCTGAACTGGAACCATTAATTCTGAACCTTGGACGGTGCGGAAGGCATCTGTTACCGATGTTGCAGCTTGACATGCCTGCCGAGCATGCAGACTCCGAGGCCCCTTTCAAAGTTTCAAATTTAAGGTTCCGGGCTTGGGACTTAGGGTTTTTGGGCTGGAGTCTTGATCGACAAATGAGGTAAGAGAGTCTTCACGAGCTGATAAGCCCGCTGGATGTGCGTTGCCAAGATTATGGTCCTTGTTGTGGAGTTCCTATTTGAAGCACTCTGTTAACTCCAGCGTCATGAGGTGGTTTTGGAGGCACAGACGCGTTTTCTGGGCTGCGGGTGACAGTTGTTTTTTTCCTGCGGGTCCCCTGTTCCTGGTCCCACTCGGATCGTTTATAAATATGTGCTGGGGTATGAAGAAGAGTTTTTACTATGGTGTTTGGTCAGCGGGTAACTTTAAAGTAAGACCAGGGGACATAACTGCAAGAGGACTCTCATCAAGGTAAAGTCTTGGCAGGAATCTTTCAGAAGCCTGGAAATGCCTCGGTTGATCTCTATGCAAAAAGGCCTTCGAGCCTGTAGGGCAGGTCAACCTCTAGAATACTTCCATGGATTGAGGGGTTGGCATTTTCAGCCACCAGCCAGGTAAGATCTGCTCAAAGCACGCAAATAGCCGGATGGGGATCCACACATGGGGGATCCACCCAATCCTGTTTTTCGTCTGGTTCATTTCCTTTGCAGTTGGCTCTCCACAAGACATGCAGCTTTACATTCTGTTCCCAGGGCCTGCCCCCAGTACATTTGCACCAGTCCCACAATCACCTTTTCCCACGATTCAAAGCCCAAATTCTACCTCGACCGCAACTCCAAGATTCCCAAGCTGTTCTGTCGTCTCATGCACCACCTACGTTGCATTTCTGCCATAGCCCAGTTAACCCTATGAAGCTCCCCAGTCTGAGGCCTACCTTTGTGAACCTCACCGTCTCCTTCCCCTCCAACCCTACACTAATCAATCCTGCATAATCCTGCCTTGGATTCCCAGGCTGTGCGGGCACATGTTGTACCCCATGGGGGCCACCTGCAATTCCGCATCTCTTAACCTCGCTCCCCTCACCTAAGATCTTTTGCCAACGACGTCCAAGTCAAGTTTCACGAAGTAACGCACATAAGCTACTGCCAAGCCAAATGGCACGGTAGCGTCACAGACTGCGCCAGCTGCGCCTGCTTCCTGCCTAATTACGGGAGCAAGCGTGTATGGCTTCAGGGCCGTCAGTTTACACCCCTTCCAGAACAGTTCTGGCATACGACTTGTAGCCAAAGTCCCGAACAGTAGCGTGAAGAGCCCAAACTACAACCATGACAAAATCCCCCAAAACACCTTGACGCATCTGCTATGACGATTGAATTCATCCCCTGCAGGGACTAGGATGTTGAGAAGCGCCAAAGCCTTGAAACGAGAACATCCATAGTTTGAGAAACAATCTAGGAAGCCGCCAAACCCCTAAACTTGAAAACCCCAAGTCCTACCTCTCAGCCATGAACTCTTCAAAGCCTCTGAAAAATGTTTTACCCATCATTTACGATGCGAGGTGGCCTTTCGGGGCAAGATCCAGCTTCTCATCTCTCAGGCCCTACAACCGTGTGAGACTCCTTGGCGCTTAGCTTCTCAGGTTCTGGGCTTTTGGCTGCGTATCTAATTGGTGTTTTAGAGATGCCCACCCTGGAAATTGGAAATGCTGACACCTCTTTTAGGAAGCCTACAAGGGCATTGGAAGCATTGAAGAAACACACCCAGATTGATGTTGGGTCGGTTTGCATTGTAACACAACTCATTTGAACAGTATGTCTCATCGTGGAAGCAGTGATGGCCACAATAGGTGCCATCAAGGATCTGAAGTTTTCCACCAGAATAACGTAGACTGTGCTGGAGGGCGGGGAACCAAAGGAACATGTTGCAAAGCTTTTGTTCGAGGTCTCTGGTCAGCATGTACAGGCTTTGGCAGCAGAGAAAGGATGTTTCTCGCAGTTCCACGGATCATTAGTGAATCAGCCCCATCCCCCTTGGCAAAGCATGTTCTAGCTCCATTCTGGTTTCGTAGCACATGAGACCCTTAACACTAGAGGGCGTGTTGCGCTGGGGCCTGGGTTTTTGATAAAGGTTATTTTGGGGGTAAAGGATAAGTGTGGGTTAAAGGAGGGTTGGGCTTGGTATTGGTCATCTTGACTACCCATGCTCTGGTCTAATTCTTATGGCTTATGGCAAACCCTGGAAAACACCGTAAATACCAACAAATCTGCTGTTTGGGAAGACACAAAGTTCTTAGCAGAAAGTTCGTACTTGTAGTCCTAGGTCTCCTAGGCATCATGATTTTGAGCCTGATTTTCAAATTTTCCAACAAGTAAGGAGGAAACTTATACAAGAATCTGGGCATGCTCGAATTGTGCTGTAAGTAATTGTTATGAAGGAAGCGAATTTTAGTAACGAGCTTAGAGCACCAAGGATATATCTTAACAATAGATATGCCACAAAGCAATGTTTTTGTTTAGTGAAGAATGAAAGGATTTATGTCGCTTCGGATTGAGACAGTGGGGTCTTTCATTCGCATCAGGAAGTCGACAAGCTCTTTTGATTCCAAGTAGAGTTCTACAAATCTCTTGCTCTGTCGAAAATTCACGAGCGTTACTTTATCTCGGCTGAGGGTACTAATATCTTTTGGCCAGCATGAGCACTCGCTACGTATCTCGAAGAAGATGCTGGTTTGTTCGTCGTATTACGTATTTCAGAGATTCTCTCTCAAGAATTTTTATAGGCTTAGCAGTCTCTGCACCTCTGAATCGAAAGCGCTCTTAATTCTTCAAAACAAATTAGGGGTTTCTCTTTAAAGAATGATTTTGGTACTTTTAGAAGGACGCTAGACTTATGAATAATTGCAGAATCATCAATCCGTTAATCCAAAGCTAGATAAGGACCTTAAAAACGCAGGAGAGTTATATGAATGACTCAAGGTCACAAGGGCTGATTAAGTTTCAGAGTGCCTGGGCTAAAACAGTTAAATTTATACTGACGCCTGAATCTGATATAGATCCCTAGCTTCCTTTCGTAAAGCCAGGCTTGCTTGGATATGGGGATGTCCAGGATGCAAGTATATATATATATATGTAAAGTACATCGCATCCCAACGCCGCAAATTCGTTGGTTTTTTCAGTATTTTCTAGTGTTCTAGGGTAGGGACCCTACCTCCTATTCGTCAGAACGGCAAATAGCAGGAAGTAAATACAGCCCAATTCCATTGCAACTTCATCATTTTCAGATAAGAGC